GATGGCTAGATCCGGGCTGACGCCTGGCATCTCCTCCACTTCAAAGTCAAAAATTTCTTTGAACTCTCTCAGAAGTTGGAGCAGGTCTGCCCCCAAATTTTCAAAGGCAACCGTCCCAACCTTGATTATTCTGTCAAGGCGGCTGTTGTCCAGGACGACATCAACACTCTCACCAGCCAACTGGGGTTGGGAGTCATCCAGCCTTTCCCCGGCTAGTGATTGCTATTTTTTTTTTCTGGCGGGGGCCAATTGGTTTGCCTTCCGCTTTTTACCAGCTGCCTTGAGGGCAGGCGCGGCTTCCTCATCGTCAAGGTCGACGGGCTCCTCGGTATGGCCGACTGCTATGGCAGTCGGCTTGACGTTTGATAGGTAGCACTCCCTAGTCGTCTTTTGGTCCCCACACAGGGCACCGGTTGACCCGTCACCCCTATCAAACTTGATCATCATGAGGGATGGGATAATGACTCACTTGGACTTGTTGAGGGTAGGACGGCCCAATATGAGATTGTAGGCAGTTAGTTCCTCGACCACCAAAAATTTGACGACCATGTGCTGCGCTTCCCCTTTCTCTCCTTGCCGGATGGGTAGGTCAATCCTTCCCACCAGATGCACCACTCCTCCCCCAAAGCCGACTAGGGGGTGAGGAGCCTTGTGCATACTGCTAGGCTTATACTTGAGCTTTGTCAAGCACTGGTAGCTAATCAGGTCATACGAGCTCCCTGTATCAATTAAGATCCGGCCAACTCGCTGGTTGGCAACCTTGCATTCGATGACAATGGGGTCATCGTGGGGCCGCCTAACCATACCCGGATCCTTCTCAGAGATGAAGACCTCAGGGAAGGTGTCTTTTGACGCCTGACCCTCATCCTCTTGATTGGACAGCTTCCGGATGTTATCCTTGGTACCCCGGATGGTAGGACCCGCGCTTGCGAAACCGCCTGCGATGGTGAAGATGTGCTCTTCATCAGTTTCAGAGCTCGCAGCCGGTTTTTTAGACGGTTGTCCACCGCTTGATTTGGGGATGCCATTAGATTTCACTAGGTAGGGTTTCAAATCCCCTTTCTCAACCAGACAGTCCAATAGTTGCCTGAGGCTATAGCAACCATTGGTGTCAAGGCCGACATCCTTATGGAACTGGCAGTACTTGCTTTTGTCCCTGTTCTTGACAGAGCTTTTCATTGCAGCCGATTTCTCAATTGTCAACCGGTCTTTTATCTCCATGAGGATGGAGGAGCAGTCTTTGTTGAACTCGTACTTGGGGACGTGCGGTTCCAACTTTCTTTGTTTCTTCTAGGACGGCTGACCAATGCGATCTACCGCCCAGATTTCTTTTCTTTTCTTCTCCTCCTTGGCCGGCTGAGAAGACCGACTGTCTCTCATGTCGGACCGCTTGGGTTCCAACGAGTGCTTGATGGCGCAGAGTTCAGATGCCTGTATATAGGCCTCAGCCTCCATCAGCGCCTCCTGGAGGGTAGCTACCCTCTTACGGACCAGGTCAAATTTGAAAGTTGACCCATCCTTCAGACCCTTAAAGAAGTTTGTATATGCAACTTCGTCAGACAGCCCCTGAATTTGAATTCTCATCAGATTGAACTGCTTGACATAGGACCGAAGTCCCTTCTTGTCACCCTGCTGGATAGCCCCTAGGTTGAGACTAGTCTTTTTGGCAGGGATGTGCATTGAGAAGTTGGACACAAACAGGTATGCAAGCGTCTTAAAGTTATTGATGCATCCAGCCGGCAAGTTGCCAAACCATCGTTGGGCTATGCCCTTCAATGTAGCTGGGAAGCATTTGCACCAGGAAGCGTCATCCAACCCCTGTAGGTACATGAGGTTGGTGTATGCCATAAGGTGGTCTTCCGGGTTAATGGCACCATCGTAGGTACTGACCAACACATTTTTAACCTTGGCCGGCTATGCCGCCTCGGTTATTTCCCGGGAGAAAGCCGAAGGCTGTTCCCCAAGGTTTAGCAGCCGGAGCTGCCAGTCCATAGACTGGACCTAATATGCCGCCTAACCCCCGAAGGGAGCCAATTGCATGAATGGAGATCCATACGGGGCGTATTGCTGTTGGGGCACATACGGAGCCTGCTGGATCACGTGAGGGCCAGTACGTCAGACACGCCGCGTGACTGACTCCCTGGTTGAGTCTCCGAATGCTTCATTGAAGCATTTTGGAAACTGTCTGAGTAGGTCGACGTAGAGGCCGACTCAGACATGCTCTGAATTCTCTTCTCTAGGATGAACATCCGGGCATCAGAGATAGTATTCTTTGACCTATCCGATTGTGTATGTCGGATGACCTTCCTTCGCCCTGATTTAGGGAAACGAAGTTTGGAGAGGTCGATCAGGGGCCCATCCGTCCCCTTGGGTTTGGGGTGAGGAGTAGACACCCGATCTTTGATTTGCTTCTTCCCGGAGGGAGAAGGCTTCTTCGCCGACTGACCCTTGCTTGAGCCAGTTGACTTCTTGATAATGTCCTTTATTTCCCCTTTGAAACTTGTCATGAACTTCATGAGCTCGTCTTTGGTGACGGGGGCAGCCCCCTCCGCCGCCTGGGGTTGTCCAACAGGCTTGTCGCCAGGGTTGCTGGGACCAACTTTATCGTGGCCCCGTTCCTTTGTTTCCTTGGAACGGGTGCGCCTAGATCGAAATGACCCGTCTGGGGCCATATAGGTTTCGACGTCGTAGTCGTCACCACTGCCACTTTCATGGTCCGTATGGACCTCAAGGTCAGCCGTAGGCCGGCTGCCCTCTGCATTTGGTACAGCATCGGATGCCATCTCAGTAGTACTCTCCCCACAGACGGCGCCAAATGTTTCGGTTGTTTTTAGTCCCTCGGGAGAGTTACAATACTGGTATGAGCGCCTGACTTCTGTACCTACAAAACCACGAAACTCAAGTTGGGTGGAGTTCCGCCTCCGCAGATCAAGTTAGTATGATTTCGGATGAGTAAGCGTGCGGAAAGTAAAATGGGTGTTTCTCTCTAATCCAGGGAGATTCCGCAATTAATATTGCTCGGGATTTGTGTATGTATTTTCTGAATACCAATAAAAGAGGATAATTCCTCTATTTATAGCAGATGAGAATCTGCTCCCCCATTGGGGGTTTGATGCCACGTGGCATCCTCTGATTGGATCCCCTTGGGCCTGTATGAGGGTGACACGTGTCAGGCCCTCATTGGGCCACGTGGCAGGGGTAATTTTTACCCCAATGAAGACCCACCACCGTAACCCACCACCTAACCCTTAACCCAACAGACCCACCACCTTTACTCACCTAACCCTAACCCTCCTGACCCCACCAACCGTAAGCCACCTCGCCACCCACCAAAACCCCCACCTGAACCAAATCCCAACCAAATCACCAAACAGATCTAAACCCTTCAAAAAAAAAAAACAGATCTAAAATCAACACCAAATTGGAAATTTAACAAAAAAAATTAACAAAAAATAAAAAAAACCAATGACAACCACCACTATTGCCGAAAACCACAATTACAACCCAATAATTAACAAAAAAAAAGAGAAAGAAAATTAAAATCAAGAAAACATACCTTAACACCGAAATTGGATGTTAATTTCTCATCGATTTTTTTTAATACGGCCAAATTCGGTCATGAAACCTCTAGATCTAGAGGTTTCATGGTTGAATTTGACCTGAATAACCGTGCGACTCCGGCGAGAAGGAAGACAGACAACACCTCCATGAACACCTTTTGCTTTGTCGAATTTAACCCACACCCAACCCCTCGCCGGCGACAAAGAAAAGAGAAGAGAGAAAGGGAAGGTAAAGAGGAAAGAGAAGAGAGAAAGAGAAGGAGAAGAGAGAAAGAAGAAGGACCGTAGGTTGGTGGTGGTGTTGGTTGCGCATCGGCGGTGGGCTTTGTTGTTGGTGTAAGAAGGAGAAGGAGAAGTGAGAAGGAGAAGAGAAATGACGAGAATGGTGGAGGAGAGAGAAGGAGGGAGGAGAGAAAAGGAAAGAGGAGAGGAGTTCAGAGAGAAAGAGAAGAGGAAAGAGGAGAGGAGAGAGAAAGAGAAGAGAGACGGAGAGAGAGAGGCGGAGAGGAGAGAAAAAAGAGAAATGAAGGGGGAGGGTTAGTTTTTATTTTTTTATATAATTAAATTCCGACGGAATTTCCGTCGAAAATCCCATATATTTCAAAGGATTTTTATTTTGTCGGAAATTTTTTTATATAATTAAATTCTGACGGAATATTCCGTCGAAAATCCCATATATTCCGAAAGATTTTTATTTTGTCGGAAATTTCTGATGGATTTTCGACGGATTGTTAAAATTCGTCGGAAATTTTTGACGGAAATACTTGTCTGTTGGAAATAGTTCGTCGAAAATCGGCCTATTTCTAGTAATGACAATTTATTTCCTCTCATTTTATTACTTTTCACTTAAATATTAATCTCATCGTTTTTCTTTTATCACTACCTCCGTGGCTCTGTTTCATATTATTTGTAAAGAATTAACATAAAGTATGAGTAGAAAATGTCTAATCGTTGCAAATAATATAAAAAGGAGGTAGTATATGCCAAATATTATGCCTTAGCCAAAGTGTGACATTTGAAAAAGAAAAAAAAGGGAGTAGTACTCGGTGATAGATTGTTATATATAGTTGGGTGCACGATACACCTATGAGAATTTTGTTCTCATTTTGATGATTGTTTTTCATTTAATTATCAAATGAGAGCAAAAATTAACTTTGAGTTAATTAGGTGCACGAGCACGATACACCCAGATGTATATAAAATATTTCAGTACTCCCTCTGTCCCATAATACATGATAGAATCAAACATTACCCACATGTCAATGCACTGCTTTGACTTCATTTTTATATAATTAAATATTAATGAAAAATATTTTAAAAAATATATTATGAAACTTTATATTAAAACCTATTTAACAACATATTTTATAATAAAATATAATTTTATTATGTTAGTAAACTATTTTGGTCAAATAGTGAAAAAACATTCAATAGCTTATGTATTATGAGACGGAGGGAGTATTACTACTGGGTAGTGACTAGTGAGGAGCACAATTGAAAGCGTACACCAGCGGGCAGCGCACAGTTGTTGAAGCAAAGTGCACAAGTTGAGGCAATCAGACCCGGTTTTGCAAGTCATTTTTTTTGCACGAGTGGGGACACTCTATTCTGCTACTGCAATAAGTCAGCAACTTACCATACGCATCTTCCTTGTTACCATGTAAATCGTTTCGGTAGTTTTTGCCCTTTGATTAATTCTTTAACTTGAAGTAACTAAAAAAGAAATATGATGACTTGATTTTACTGTAATAGATTTTAGCAAAACATTGGAATTGCTAATATAATACGAAGAAGTACTCTGTACAAAGTAAAAGCTTCAGTGGCTTCTCCCACAAAAAAAAAAAAAAAAAAAAAAAAAAAACAAATAGATTGACAGGGTAATATTTAAATTAAGGAAAAAGATTTTAATAAAAAGAGTATCCAAAGTTAAAATAAAATAAAAAATATAGCATTTGCAGTAGTATATTCGAACTATTAAATTTAGCAGAATCAATCAGCTGCATGTGAATGTATTGTACTAGATTCAATATTTCCCGACCTTCGATGCCTCCAAAATTCAGCGCTTAACGGATCAAGTTCTCCCGAATCTCTTCTAGCTGGTTCTGACTTGCATCTCATTAGCATCAACGCTTTCGCAGCTTCGACTCCTCCATCGTGTTTTTTACATTCCGGTAATGTTTCATGGAATATATCATTTACGGAATCCGTAATAGTAGGAGGTGTGGTAACACCCTGATGTTGAACGAGGGCACAAATTTCGACCTCTTTTTTTAAACTTGGTCTTCTTTCAGTTTTATTGTCTCGATCTCTCCTCGATTGTGATAAAGTCGAATCTCTGCTCACTTCAATTCCCGAAACTCTGTTTTCTGTTTCTGTGTCCTCTGACTTTCCTCTTAATGGCGACCCCCAAAAACGACACGCTAATGACGAAGATCTGTATGGCGCAGATCTACACCTTGTCAACAACAACGCATTCTTCGGTGGTGGTGTTGTTTCTGTCATCGTCGTTGTTATCTCCTCAATCGTAATCGATTTTCGTCTTTCCCTCCCTTCGTCAGGCTCAACAGCAGCACTATTCTCCTCTTGCTCGAACCGATTTGACCCGAACTTGGAGGAATCCGTCCGCACCTTAACACTCCTACAATTAAAGAACGAAACCCATTTCGGAAACTTCGGCTTGCATAAATTCCATCTATAAAAACCCGGTTTTCGAAAACAATAACAACAACTCTTCTTACTAGTATCCTTGTTATCCTTCTTATTATTGTTATTTTGGGTGCTATTTTTGTTGGGGTTTTGAGAAGTTGAACTTCTATTTTTACTCTTAGACCTTATGACCCTAACTTGACCCATGCAAGTAACCTTGGGTGAAGAAGGTTCTTGAGTTGTTTCAATGGCGGAAGAAGAAGTAAGAGCTTTCTTTCGCCGCATAAACAATGGTGGTTTTCTTGTTCTTCTTCTGCTACTTCGGCTTCCAACATTGCTTCGCAAAAACCTCATTAATGGAGGTGGGAATTTCTCTGTCCTACCTGGACTTGATATGGGTTTTGAGCTTGACGAAAACCTCATCCTCTTTTTTTTTAACAAAAAAAGAATAAAATTCAATTTATTTTTCTGATTTTTGTGGGAGTGAAGTGAGATGGAGACTTGGCGGAGAAAATTTGGGAGAAAATGGGTTGAAGATATTTGGTTTGTCCTTTTTATTTTGTGAAATCTTGATTTTTACTGATTATTTTTATTTTTGTTATTTATGAAATTTTTATTTATGGTTGCTTTGCTGTCACTGTAAGAGAGTATTTGAATAATGTGATTGTACTACATCATTATATTTTTGTCTTGAAAAATAAATTTTTGATTAACTATTCCAAAAAAAAAAAAAAAAAAAAATATTATGGTGCACGGATGGGTGATTCAGATTGTGTAAACTTTTCTTTTTCAAAAGCTGTAAGGTTCTGTTTGTCTTACTAGAGAAGCTACAAGGCTACAAGTGATGGATTTCTAAAGTGAAGAAATTTGGGTAAATATCAGGTCATTTTTATTAACTTTTATTATTTTATTTTATTTTTTATTTTTATAAAAAATTTATTTAAAGTGTTGCATTTCAATTGTAATACTAGCGTTGTGCTCGGGCGATGTTCGAGTAGTTTATTGTAAATTTTTTGTTCGAATACTAACTTTTAACATAAATTTCATTGATAAAAATCATAATTTATAAGAAATATACTCCTATATGATTTACGACATTTTGTAGTTTCACTAATATGATGATCTCTATGTTATTTCAATTATCTACTCATAATTAATGATCAATTAATAGTTATATCAGTAAAATAAAACAATATTACTACTGTTCCTAAATTATTATTTTTAATGGTAAGGTGGACCCTAACCACAACTCAACCTTCACGGTTTTTCTGATTCAGTATTTGTGGGCCAGACACCTGGGAGTAGAGAGGAGTGTAAGGGAATCCCTACCCCCCAAGTACCCTTACTTGGTAGGGTTTGAACCCCAAACCTCTAGAATGTGAGGTAAGAATCTTAACAAGTAAGCCAACACTTTGTTAGTTACCGTTCCTAAAAGTTGGTTTTTAGTTTAGAATATTACAAACTACTCCGTACAAAAATACAATATAATAATAATCATATTAGATTGTGAATTTTTTATTTTTATTCGATTAAAATATATTCTAAAATTTATCTCATTATAAATTACTTATAAAACAATTTTATGCTATAGAAATAACATAATTATAAGATATTTATTTATATTACAATTTTTTTTATAAAAAATATTGAAATTTTATAAATAATAAAACTCTATGATAACTTTTCAATCCTAAATTTTTTTATTGAATTTTGCTTACTTACATCATATATGCCCTACTTATACGTATATAATTGTCGTCGATATTAATAAGATAATATCTATATTATTTTAACTTAGTCATGAATGAACGATCACTTGACAAATTATATTTGTAAAAAACAAAAAATATCATCAATAGCAGTTGTAAAAAAAAACACATTTATAAGATGTTTACTATAAGTGATAATTTATTTTATACAACATTGTTGAGGTAAATATTGTTCTTCACGAACAAGTCAAATATCATATCTTGTTGTAGGATACTAAGGGGTTGCCCCTATTGTTACTAGTTTCAAATTGATAACGAACCTTGTTAACGTTAACGTACGTAACACAACAAATAAGTTAAAAGAAGTTATCCTTGAAGAAGTTAGAGAAGTGTTGAATCACCAAAGAAATGAATAGATAATCATTGACAAAAGATGTATATGTTTTCCATTAATTAAGGATAAAGTAAAGGCTACAATTGTACTACAAGAAGAAACAATTACCTCCATTTTCATACAGATGGAATAAGTGAGCAATTTTCAACACATGCTAAATAAACTAAACTATTGCTTGGTTATTAAGCCAAGAAAAAACTAAAAAAGCACTAAAGAAAGCTTAAAGAAAATGAGATGATTTTGTTGGTTGATGTCCTTTCTTCTTAGATCAATCCTCTATTTATAGGCAAAAGCCCCTTAAAAATCTATCATGATCTCCTTTTAACCACTAGTCTGTTCATAAAAAATTCTTGGCGCCAACATCTTATTTGAATTTAGCTCTCACTACAAAAAGGCCACTCCTTTTTAACTTTGGTCTTGTTTAACTAGGTTTGGTATTGATTTCAATATTCACTTAAGATGATGGTCCATTCAGCACTGGATTGTCCAATACTTAAAGTCAAACACCCTACATTTGGTCCATCCTTTGGTCAACTTTTCTAAACATTCAAAATCAACGCGAGTCAACAAAATTTTAATTTTGGGTGTAACAAATGCCCCCTAAAATTTCAAAATCAACGCGAGTGTCCTTTACAGAAATATAAGGCCTAAATATATACATAAATATATGTATTAAGTGGCCAGCTAAAATTCATCGGTGCTAGGGATGTCATCAATAGCCTTCTTCAACTTTGGGCTATTTAGATAGCCTTCAAACTCATCGTTGTTAGGCTTGACCAACGACTAGTTGACTTGGTTGTTGAAGTCAATTTCGTAGTCCACTGACAGGTGCATATGTAATGAAGGGTGTGGATTCCCCTATCCGATCCTCAAGTTGCCTTGACTTGATAATAGTCACTAACATAAGTGACCAATCGTTTTGTCAATCGTTGGCTAAAGCTAGGAGGAAGAGAAACAACCCTCAACTTCCCTGGCCATGCCTTTGCAAACCAGAGCGGCGTCGGCTTGGTCGCTTACATCTATCTTGGGGAGGATGTAATTCCTCACCAAGTTATGGTTACCGCCTATATCAAAGACGTTTCGAATAGTAGGCCCCTCATGATCTTGTGTGATATCAGGTTTGTCTCCCCATTACCTTTGAATTCGTTGGTTGAAGTTATTTTTCTTGTGATGTAAGTATGCCTCCTTTTGGCGTATATGTACTTTGCTAGGTGGTGGTTGGGACACTCGCCTGGGTAACTTAGGGACCCCATTGTTGTAGTACAACCTAAGGATGATCCATTGCAAGGCCAAACATGTGGAGAATTGCTTCCCCGTTTATGATATGCACTTCATTACCTTTAAGAGCTTCTAGTTCGCCAAGGTTAATTGCTTCAATTAGGTTGATAATACCTGCTGCCATTAGAACAATTTTTTGTATGAAGGATGAAGAAACTTTTGATATTTGAGAGAAAAAGAGAGAGAGAAATACTTCTTAAATGAAATTGGTAAGGAAGTAGAAATGAAACAACTATTTATGTATTTATAGTTACTTTTGATGATCATTTAGTTGTTTATTATTTTAGGAAGTTAGACGGTTTTCTTAGTAAAAATAAAACCATGTCTTTTCCCATGGCTAACACCATTTGATAGGTGCCTTTTCAATTCCTTTAATTTAGGAAGGGCTGTACTTCCATTCATAAAAAAAAAAAAAAAAAAAAAAGGAAGGGTTGTACTTATCCACTTCTTGAATATTCCTTCACAAGTTTTAGTTAATTTCTTCAAGTTAAGTAATAATTATTCGGCATAAAATTTCTTCATCAGAAACAAAAGTGTATTTTCAATTAAATGCCATAAACATTACCATTGTTTAACTTGGTAAATCGAGATAAAAATGTAATAATTACCCATTCATTAATTTTGGTTGCTCCAATAATATTTCTATGTAGATAATTTTAAAAGAGTTTGAATTGAAGTAAAATTACAAGTCTGATTTAATCAAAATGTTACCCACTACTAATAAAGACTTATACACAACTTGGCTTAGCTTTAACATATCGTCTAGAAACAATATTTGTAACACTTAGCTAAACAAAAGTTAGATCATTACAAAAGTTAAGACATGATTTTGAAATATGTTTGTAACACTTAGCTTAACAAATTAAACTAAGGACAAAATTATATTGGTGTATGTTTGATTGATAGAATGAATTGCGTATGTTGGATGTTTAATGGTTTGAGAGTCATCACCAAGTCAAAATATGTAAATAACGTAAAGTGAAAGAGGTTACGCACCAAAACTCTTAGAACGTATATGCCTTGAGTATGAACATATGGGGGGAGTTATGTGACTTTATATTTGATCATAACTTCTACTAGGAGTATAAGACGCTGTATTTTTCTTTTTATTATGCGCAGGAATTCCGCCACTTACAAGTGGTTCTTTTATACTGGCACGGTTCGCTCCCGTGTTAGTACCTCTTTATTGGGGCAGGTTAGGAGAAAACCCGTTTGATGCGTAATCAAATTAAATAAACAATTAAACGTGTCTATTTTATGAGTTGTATGTTGTGTGCTTGTGAATAGGTGCAATAAGGTATGTTGTGTGATGCTAGGATGAAATCATGTTAGTGTGTTTCGATTATGCTTATGTATTCAGCATTGCTGATTGTGTGTTGTATGTTTATTTGGCCTTGTCTTTATCTTGGCCCTACGACGACCCATTTCTAATGGCGAGTAGTCGAGACAAAGTAAAGAGAAGATTTTCAGATGATGAAGCATATGCACGATGGGGATGAGTGAAGGGCGAATCTTGTTTAGTTTCTATAAGAATATGATATGTTTTATTTGCTTTGATGATTATTTATAATTTCTTGTGAGACTAACGCAAAATTTTAAATACTTAGTTTGGTTTTTGAAAGGGCCTACAATGGTTCCAACTTGTAGGTTGACTCCGTTTGACTTTGGTTTGAATTTGCTTTCATTGGTTTGACTTTTAAGTTGGTTTGTTTTTGAATGATTTTGAAGTGAGTCTTCCGCTGGGTGTCTTTGATAATTGCCTTAGCCGTTATTACGGTGGCGGTAATGCCTTAGAATTTCCTATTTCGTATCTTAAAAAGGGCAAAACATGTATTTTAAAGGGAAGAAATTTCTAGGGTGTTACATAATTGGCTCGAATTAATTTGTGGGCTAAGATAATGTGGATTGTGAAAGGTTTATGCAAAAGGTTTGGGCTTAGAAAGAAATGAAAAACGGGTTATAAAATAAGAAAATATGGGTTGGGTTTCTAACTAAAACTCGAGCAAGTTGAAGAAATTAGGGATTTGAAGTGAAGAAATTAATGATTTTAAAGGAGAGGTATCTCAAAGCCTAGGATTTCCCATGCTTGGTATTGGAAACAGATTGGGTTTAGCCCAATATTATGACGAACAAATTATAAGAGATTGTATAATCCAATTTGTTTCTAATAGCTCATTATTTCAGTACCAAACAACCAAATTTGAGATCGAATTCCACTAGGTTTACCTAGTGTAGAGTTAAGTATTCGGGTTGTCTATATGATTAGGGCTATTATTGGTATCAAATAACAATCCACTTGTGAAGAAATTGGGGTCGTGCCTATATGGTCCACTTGTTAGCCTTAGCTTGAGGTACTTTTACCCAAAAAAGTGTAATCACTTAATGAGGATAAAAATACAAGGTAAGAAGAACGGTGTCCCAAAAAATGTGTTAAGTTAGGGAACGATAAAATTATAGTGGAATAAAGTAAAAGTAAAAGGAACTTCATAAAATTACCTTAAACGACACGTAAAAATGAAATTAATTATGAAGGTTAGACAAAATAAAAAAAATTCATCCAAATTATAGAAACAAATCAAGGTTTCATCATTACCATTTTATGTTTTTGACACAACAATCACGGTGATTATTTACTTATTCTCTCCTCAAATTAAATATCGTTAGTATATCTACTTTTGTTTCTCCACATGAAATTACACATTTCCTTATAAATCAACATTTTATCCATGATTTACATTTTTTTTAATGATATTATTTAATAGGGTCAAATTAATTGTTGTACAATAATCATGTGTTTTATGTTTTTGTTAGAATAATCATGAATGTCTTTTGTGATGTATGAAACATTATGCTTAAAAAACATATT